AAGGTTTAGAGCCATATTCTCTTCGAGTTTTCTTACGCTAGAATTTCCTATTTGTATTTCGGTGCTATATATACAGGAAATGTAACAATTTGTTAAGTAGTTTTGTGGCGGATATGGCATTATATTGAGAATCCTGTATCTCCGTTATTTTCTAATCTTTCCAATATTTCCGCATTATTCCCTTACGTTCAGTATAACTGCAATAACATGCTGACAAGTAGGATGTTAAAATAGATCAAACTATTGATTCCCATTTTTAAGACGCTACTTTTCTGTTTCTCACCAATGTTTTACTTCGTTTGTCATTTCATATTACAGTGATGCAGAAAAGCCTAGAGTTTGCTTGTATAAGAAAAAAAAAAAAGAAGAAAGATAATCCTCTTTGATTCTCACCGGAAAATTAACTATTAGGTAGTTTACAAATCACGATTTTCTGACAGATGCTTTGAAATTTCTGCCTGATGAGTTCTCAGATAATGAACAAAACTGATTCTGCGATGAAAATCTTTAAAGGGAGATGCAGAGAAAATGTATAACAGCTGACACCATCTATGTTTTGGAGCAATTTTCTTACTCCAAAATTTCTTGCAATCTATGACTTGAAAATCATAACCTGTAAATCCAAAACATTGGGAAGTCGTCAGGAATGCGTTATATACATATAGATTTTGTTTCAAGTTTATTTATGAACTTACCTCTCTCCTGTCTTTCGTTGATATATAGGTGTGTGTGTGTATGTGTTTATATATATATATATATTATATATTATATATATAATATATATATATATATATATATATATATAGAGAGAGAGAGAGAGAGAGAGAGAGAGAGAAGAGAGAGAGGGAGGCAGGGGCGCCACTGAGAGAGAGAAAGGGGGGGGAGGCCGAGGCGCACTGTGAGAGAGAGGAGGGGGGCAGGGGCGCCAATGAGAGAGAGAGAGAGAGAGAGAGAGAGAGAGAGAGAGAGAGAGAGAGGAGAGAGAGAGAGAGAGAGAGAGAGAGAGAGAGAGAAAGAGAGAGAGAGTAGAATGTCATACCTTGTAAATTTCTTGAATGATATATTCGCGGTCAGATTCATAAAGTAGATTATCATGAATATTTTCCTTATATAAGCATACTCACGATATACTACATCGGTTAAATGAGAAATAAGAAAGGAACTAAAGAACTGATGAAAAAATAAAGTAGTGACGCAATAATGGAAATCTTGATTCATATCTTGGCCTATATTCTAACATCATTCTTGACAGATTAGGCTCATATTGTTTGGGTTTCTATGTTGTTGCAAGTAGAATAGCAGTGTGTGTGATTAACATTATTCAAATAAACCTACCTCTCTCTCTCTACATCACGTCTCTCATTTTCTTTCTCTTGTATCCCTTTCTCTTTTCCTCTCCACCCCCCTCCTAGCTCTCGCTCTCTCTGTCACTGTCTCCTCTTTCTCCTTTCCCCATCCTCTTTCTGCTTTATCGATCTCTCTTTCCTATTCTGTTTTCATTTACCTCTCTTTATTCCTCTCCATTTCCCCCTCACTCCCACCGGCCAACGCGAGTAACGTCTTCAGTGGCTTCTCCGGCACGGTTTTACACTTCGGATTGTGGCAATTTGTATATCGGCTTGTTTGTAGCAAATATATCTAACAGATACACGTATCAGTTTATTATCCAGACATTGAGGTTGTAAATATGTTTTAGTACATTTTACACTAATGTCTTTACACTAAAAGATCAACACACTGGCCGTGTCTTCCCTTTCGAGACTGCCCCATGCTAAGCGTGGAAGCACACTTTTAAGTCCATACTTTGAAAGTTGTGTGTGAAATGTGCGATTTTATACACGTTGTACGGAATATATGTCTATTGTCATTATCGGTTGTTTGCAGAGAAGAACATTCTATTGTTTGAGCAAAGCCAGGAGACAGGAGAGTTACTCGTGGAAACAGGACACCGCAGTCTCAGGCAATAGAAATTTATAATAGAAAAGGAAAATCCACAGAAACACTAAATAAATTCTTTA